TTCCTTCAATACACATTCGCTTATAGTCAGTCTTAACAGCATTGGAAATGCAAGTATGTGTATTTGTATGTAATATCAATAAAATATATGTATAGTATGTACGCTGTAACTTTGATATACTACACCTTTTATAAATGTTTCGTTGTAAAGTAACTCGGTCAAACTCGTATATTAACTGCAACTGACTTCATAACTCGATCTTCTCTAGACAAGAGTCGCGTTAGCCTAGAGTTGTCGATTCTTTTTACAGTAATATAGGGTAGAGTGTCAGAGCGTGTCAATCCAGTCCTATAAGAAGCAAGTTATTATTATAGGTTACTGCATTTGTATAGAAAAGTACGAACGAGTTTTTCAGATGGCTATACTGCACGACCTTGGGAGTGCACATATAGCTCCTCCCACCTACCTTTTAACTTCATAGCGTACCGCGCACTCACGTGCATCAAGCGCGAGGAGTACAATATAAAGCTGTTCAATATCGGGGAATATTGAACTACTCTGACAATGTAACGTTATGGGAGAAAATAAAGATCATATAATACTCATTATTTTAATATATAAAGGTCGGTTGCTGCTGTTTATACTAGGCTATTTATTTTCTTTTCTTTTTTTTATTCTAAAAGTACGTTTGCGTTTGGCAAGTGTTATTTATAGCGTTCGTTGTTCTTGCCTTCTATGCATTTCGATCTTTCCAAAGGAGAATCGTATCTCATGCTCGACATATGAATCTGACCTTAAACAACCTTGGCTGAAAACTTTTTTGAAGCAAAATGCAATAATTTCTCAAGATTGGTTTGTAAAGCCTGTAGTATGCTTTGTTGGCAAAAGGCTGAGTGTTGGAATGCAGAAATGACTGTGCAGTTGCATTGTTTAAATTTCTAATGGTTGATTTTAAAGAGAGGATTGCATATTTTTATGTCGGAAATCACAAAGATGGGTGGTGATTATTATTATTATTATTATTATTATTATTATTATTATTATTATTATTATTATTATTATTATTGTGTAAGATTTTGGTATAGATAAAGCTAAAACAAAATACCTGGTGTCTGGGCATCAAAAGTAGTCCGCAGAATTTACCGATGCATATCAAATTCTTGATAAGTATTACTTGACCGTTTATATCCAATCAAATAGATAGATTGATTGTGGTTGTTGTTGTTGTTGTTGTTGTTGTTGTTGTTGTTGTTGTTGTTGTTCGACTTAACGCCATTTTTCAGCACACAATATGCTATACATGGCGGCCAGTATTAATGGTGGAGGAAGAAAACGGGAAATCCGCGGAAACAACCACCGACCCAAGAGAAGCTACTGGCAAGCTTTCTCACACATCCACATTCGCCGAATCTTAGACTCGAAATCAGAGGTGAGACAGAGGTGAGATGGCAGTGATCCGTAACGGACAGCGCTTTAGACTACTTGGCCACTCGGGGCCCCATAGATAGATAGATATATACTTACTTACTTACTTACTTACTTACTTACTTACTTACTTACTTACTTACTTATTTACTTACTTACTTACTTACTTTCTTACTTACTTACTTACTTACTTACTTACTTACTTACTTACTTACTTACTTACTTACTTACTTACTTACTTACTTTGCTTTACTTTACGTTTTCCTTTCCTTTCCTTTCCTTTCCTTTCCTTTCCTTTCCTTTCCTTTCCTTTCCTTTCCTTTCCTTTCCTTTCCTTTCCTTTCCTTTCCTTTCCTTTCCTTTCCTTTCCTTTCCTTTCCTTTCCTTTACTGCCTTCCTTCAGGCAAACTAGATTTTTGTTCCAAAGGTGTAATGGGCTGGTAAGAGAATAAAAAAGTGCAATAAAATGGTACGGTTATTTTCGAGCTATTAAAGTTGCTTCACAGCTGACATTAAAGTATGTCGTGTAATTTTTCTTTAATTTTTCTTACTTTTTATTGAGAGAGAGAGAGAGAGAGAGAGAGAGAGAGAGAGAGAGAGAGAGAGAGAGAGAGAGAGAGAGAGAGAGAGAGAGAGAGAGAGAGAGAGAATGTGTTTCTTTAAACTGCTATTTTGCATTTGCATGCTACTGGAGGTTATCAATTTTCCAGGGCATACTTTTAATATACAGTTTATTGGGATACTATCGGAATATTGGGTCACTATCGGGACACTACAGGCCGATCGGAAAACACAACAATGGATTTGGACTGGAAAGGTATATTCTATTTATTTAAATCCTGATATAGACATCGTACTGTTTATTGGTATTGTGTGACTTCATCTCAGATAGTCTATCCGTTAAAGTAATTAAAGAAATCAAATTTAAAGTTATTCAATGATGCAAAAGAAAATTGTTTTAATGGTGCAGACAAAAATACATCATGCTGCATATGTCCATCTCACTACACGCTTTGCAAGAAAAAGTTCACATCATGTATTGAATATTTGACGTATCACCAAGAAAATGTCGGCATGTTCCTCTTACGAAATTTTTCCGTAGGACATTCACATGAATCATAACTTATATTAACTGCCAATCAGATAAAGAATAAAATATCAGTACAAGTTCATTAAATACATGTCCATATAACATTGGCAAAATGAACCGCCAATTAAAAACAGGTAGTTCATTCAGCACATGTCTAGATAACATTGGTGCAAATCACCCACCATTCCTTAGAGGAAAGAAGAACACCCACCCCCTGTCCTAAATTAAATTATTGGAGCCTTAAATATTTTGGTATATATATATATATATATATATATATATATATATATATATATATATATATATATATATATATATATATATATATATATATATATATATATATATATATATATATATATATATGTGTGTGTGTGTGTGTGTGTGTGTGGGTCATAAATTATAAATGTGAGAAAAACATTCCAACAGCAGTAAGAAACAAAGGTAAGTAAAATCCCGAATGCTAAACAAAACATTGACCTTTGCTGTTAATATCCTACTTCTAATACTATTATCTCTGGGTGGAGCGGGACGCTGTGTCTGTGGGAGGGAAGCTATTTTAAGCACAAGGGGAACTAGACTTGCTACGATCAGAGTTCGTGTTAAAATGATTTGAAAACAATGACCTAGAATCCGAGTTTTAATTGATTGAATAGGAAATATTCAAATTGATTGGTAAGTCGTCCTCCTCTTCTTTAGTTTCCTTGGGTGATGTGTTTTCACACGCAAAGCTTAGGGCTTGAAAAGAGAAATATTTTGTCAAATCGCGCTTGTTCTAATGACCACACACACACACACACACACACACACACACACACACACACACACACACACACATACACGCGCGCGCGCGCGACTTAATTGGATCTTTGTTACACGCAGGTATAGTAAGTATTCGGAAAAATAATGTCGTCCATAGCACAAGCCATTTTCTGATGAAATTAATGTAAAGGAAAGAAAAGAAAGAACGGCTGCTGTTCATCTTAGATTAATAAATTATTAGTAGTATATTTTAATCTTGCGCACTTGCTATTCTTTATCACACAAACAAGTACTATCAGTTTTCAAAGTGTTATAATTGCCTAATTTGTGATATAACTCATCAGATTATGCGGTCTTGTCCTTTAACGTGTTGCATGTGGTTGCACATTTAAATATACCGTCTTAGTTCGCTTTTAGTGCGGTCCTATCCGCGATGTGTTTTTTTTTTTCTCACTCAGATGTGTTTTTAAATTTTTGTCGACGGATGAAAGTGTGCTAAGTTCTATTTAGAATTTAAAACGCATAAGCATATTCTCGTTCAACCTCGACACTGCATTAGAATCAAACAAAGAGGCGGGTATTGTTTTGGAAGAAATACGGTGATAATTTCAGAAACAACTAATCGTCTACAGGCATCAGTGTATGCATACTGTACGTGATGTATTTGTAATGTATTTGTAAATTTTGATTAAACAAAATGTTTGATTTTTAATATAAGAGAATTCTTGACTTTTTTAAAGTACAAAGATGTGTTTATTTATGTTTGTCTGTGTATGCATGTACGTACGTTTGTACGTGCGTATGTATGTATGTATGTATGTATGTATGTATGTATGTATGTATGTATGTATGTATGTATGTATGTATGTATGTATGTATGTATGTATGTATGTATGTATGTATGTATGTATGTATGTATGCATGCATGCATGCATGCACGCACGCACGCACGCACGCACGCACGCACGCACGCACGTACGTACGTACGTACGTACGTACGTACGTACGTACGTACGTATGTATGTATGTATGTATGTATGTATGTATGTATGTATGTATGTATGTATGTATGTATGTATGTATGTATGTATGTATGCATGTCCCGGCTGCCAAACAAGATGTCGCGAGTTCGAACCTCGCGGCAACCCAGTTTTTAATTTAATTTTGTATGTTCCTTTTACACTCTGGCATTCTTTTTTATACATTTTTTTACCTTTTTAATTTTATCTTTTAACTTTAATTATCACAACCTTCATTCGACAGGCAATTAAGCTATCTGTGAATAATTTTTAATTATTTTGGACTTGTCTTTTTACAAATAGAGGCTTGTTTTGATGTGATACGGATATAATTGCTGCACAAGGTGTCAATGCAATGAATGTACTTCTTAATATTTATAAACTTCAGCGTTCATTGAATATAATGTGCGACTTATCTGATTCTTTGTTATCTCCAGTTTTGTCTTATTGATGTGATATTTGGAGACCCTTTTAAAGCAGAGAATATAGAACGGATATAGGATAAATATTGCCAGTGGTTTCTAGATATTGAACTCTGTACCAACCATATGACTGTATATAGATAGTTGGGCTTGTATAACATGAATAAACGCAAAACCTTATATTCAACGAAAGCTATGCTTATCGATTCCGAAAGAAAGAAGTTTTGTAACACATGCGATTTTAGAGAAAACACGATGCTATTGAGTTTCGTCCTTTAGTTAAGACAGTAACAACGACATATGCTTCATTTCTCTCAGAATGCAATGCGCAACTTACGAGGTGACGTCTTTGGTGGCCTAGTAGTTAGAGCGTTCGCATCAGATGCGGGAGTTCGCGGGTTTGAAACCCGGCCAAGTCATATCAAAGACTTATCAAATTGGTACTAACAATTGCCTTGGCATTAAGAGGTTAGTGGTCGAACTGGTCGGTATGGTAGCAGGATAATGTGACTGGCTGGGACATCATGCTACATGTCTGCGTCATGATGTCCCAGTGCTAGACATCACTATAAACTGCCAGGCTGCACACATTGTAGCGATATGACAGAATTTTTCAAAGCTACTTTAAAAGTCTAAATCACACACACACACACACACACACACACACACACACACACACACACACACACACACACACAAAACCGAGACAGACTGAAAACAGACTGGTCCTCGTAACTTGGTCGATTTCCAGAAGAAAAGCGACAAATAAATCAAATAATACTGAGAAACCAGTATGTGTTAGGAGAAATGCTAATATAAAAAGAAAGTCCTGTAGTTGATCTTTTCATTCACAAATATTTAATTCATATCTTACTAAGAACTAAATAATATTATATCAGTACACAATTACATGTTCAACATTCATATCATTTTTTGAATTTGATAATCCTTGTCCAGGCTTTTTAATCTCTAAATCTGATCTGTAAAGAATTGATAATTTTATGATTGAAGTTACCGTACCATGGACTATTTTCTTGCTGTTCAAGGGAGGTCTTATTTGATCTTTATAGCCTTCTGCGAAAAGATTTCACGCAAGTTGATAGAGAAGATTACGAGTCCTGATATGTTCGGTATTTGGTGGAAAAACTTCAAAACCCGTATTAGTTCCGCACACGTGTTTGTTCTTCGTCCGCGATAGCTGATTGTGATTCATCTATGATAATGTTTCCAAATTAAAACAGTTTTTCCAACCTGTAGCTTAATTGTATATGACTGCCTTGCAGACCATTTTCATAACTATTTCAAAGGTACGGTGAATGACGTTTGCTCAGGTAGGATTGGAGAGGTGGGCACATATCTCATTTTAACGATTGATATGCGAAGATTTGAACAGAGAGAGAGTCCATTTTCTAAGACCCTGTCATTCTTCCCAATGCCAATATGGGAGAGCGAGCGTGTCACAGAATGTGTCTTAACTAATTCTATATATGAAAAATTTCCATCAAAATGTTTCAAACATGCAAGCGATTGAAACAATTAACGAAAACTGTTTGAAAAACTTATGTTTTAATTGGTTCTTTTCGAATTTGCTCTGAATGTGACCTTGACACCATTTCAGAACCGTCTTATCTCCATAATAAACAAAATGCATCAAGAAGTGTATGAAACATATATAAATGATAAACTTCTACAAAAATATTTTTTAGTAAACTGACAACAACGTTAGAAACGTGACATCGCCTTGCTTTCACACTAACATTTGTGTGCCAAAATTACCTTTATGAGCAGCAATAATCACAATCGTCTTTGATGGTATGCAAGGATATGGGTTTGAGTGGTACAACCCTGACCCTATTTCAGTAGTGTAACATTGGTGGAAAGTCACACTCTTCCGCTCCGGAAAACAAATTCCAAACCTAGATTAAAATTATAATGCTTTCTGCCAGGTCACTATTTCTTTGAATCAGTTAATTGTTCAAAGTGAAAATAGGACACGAAATGAGTAAATTAACAGATAAACAGCATAAAACGTCTCAGTGGTTCTCAGGGTCAATAACACTTGAAATGGTATTCATGTGTTCTCTGGATTACAGAGGTGTAAGAACAAATTCTGCCCCTCCCCCTCCGCTAGATTCCTATCCCAATTTTTAAAAATTATTTGATGGGTATTTTGGCCTGCCTCCATCCACACCCACCCCTTCAAATACGGGGAGTGAGTGCTTGGGCGGATGCTACGCCGTTGTGAAATTGGTTTCTCAGAAGTCACAATTCTTTCAATAATAGTTTTAAGGCGATCTATATTTATTTACCACTTCTGAACATCTTCATCTCAATACATCAAATTAAATTTCTTCTACATCGTATGATTTCTACCAGAAATCACATGTGTTGGAGGTTATCCAATTAATTCACTTGATCACTCGTAGTGAAATGACCAGTTAATCATTAACAATTTTGTTATCAATTTCTGTGGAAATTCCATTTTGTGCCATTTATGTTGTTTTGGACCTGGTTCTATTTAAGAAATAACCCAACATTTTCCATGATATCATAATGACAGATCTAACGATCAATAATTGTTCGGCGATCGGTTAGCTCAAACACAGAATTGATTATCTGATTTTATCGATTCCCAACACTTGATGTTGGAAAAGGTATAAAAAAAACATTTGAATGGCGCATTACGTTTTGCAAAACCAACCGTCAACAAACTTGAAATAATTTAAGTTAAACGAGTATTCTCCCGATACAGGTTATAATTTACGTTTCTAATAATGTTGATAGAAGGGCATTTTAAATCGCATCTATACCCTCTTTTCTAAACGGGAAAAGCCTGTGTAGCACTGAAGGCAGAACATAGGCTGTAGCTATCTATATTCAAAGTTTGCATCTATCATGTAGAATAAATAATAACTTCTAAAGCATTCATTCCTAGTTTAAATTCCTGCAATTTTAATATTTATGATCATAAAACATTTCATTACTCAATTTTCAGATGTACTTTACTTTCATCTAGTCAACACGCTCGATTCTACTAGACATAAATTTTATTATAGATTGCAGTTTTCTTCATGAAAATCTGCATGTACTCTCAGTAGCACAGAATAAGACGCATAGAAGTTTAATTTTTGTATAGCACGATTTAACATTTTAACTTATAAATAGGTCAACGTGACTTGTCTAGGCATACAATTATACACATTCTAAAGCATTTGAGGACAGAACAAAACGGAACATTGCTTTATTGGAGTGGTGTATGCGAAAACGCATATAGTCAATATTATATATAACAGAGTCAAAATACTGTTGCCAAAACGAATGAGTAATGACGATAGAAACCAGTGTACACATATTATCCTCTGAGAGAGAGAGAGAGAGAGAGAGAGAGAGAGAGAGAGAGAGAGAGAGAGAGAGAGAGAGAGAGAGAGAGAGAGAGAGAGAGAGAGAGAGAGGGGGCGACCTCATTACTTTTTTTTCCTTTTCTTATAAATATCCTCTAAAAAAAAAAGAGCGCTATTATACTATGTTATTTATAGGCGGTATCCACGCAGTGTCCTTGTAAAGTGACATCCTGCCTTACGATCTATTTATTAAAACAAAGTTATTATGTATCAGCACGCACTTGTTGCACGAATGCTGGTGAATGTTTGACGTCTAATTATTCATGTTCAGCTGGGTATATGTGGACAGGTGTACTCCATTCCGACCGAGTTACAGCACAGGTATTCGGATCGCTTCGAGCCCCGGTACAACTGATCAGTGTTTAATATAATCAGAGCCACGCTGACAGAAAAAACAAACAAACAAACAAAAAACAAAAAACAAACAAACAAACAAAACAAAACAAAACAAAAAACAAACAAAAAAACAATATTCATCCGAGAAAACAATATACTATAGTATTTGCGCACATCCCGTTCTTTGTCCCAACCAACAACATCGTTAAACAGCAAGATTTTGTTTTAAAAAATGCACAAAAAGTAGTTATTTCCTTCATGAATTTATAATTTCTAACCTAAAAACATTTTGGCATTATGAATCAAAATGGAGTTCTTTAGCAACACTGTAGCCATAATAGCATTGGCGAGTCTATGTTTTCAAGAAACGAATGTTATGTAGTTCAACGTCTTTCATGATCTCAATAATTCCTTCAATTTAGAAGTTAATTGTCTTCAAATACATGTATTACAATAGTTCCTAGTTTTTGTTTGTTCGATTTTGTTAATAGAAAAATAAAAACATTGCAAATACTGGACGCAAATGACACATGCTTTACTGAAATTGAAAGTTCTAGAAAACGGAAAAGGACAGTGAACAGTCTGACCGCTTTGCTAGCTTCCGTTTGATTTGAGACGCCAAAAAGTTTCTAGATTTAGGAACATCTTGGCGAAAATAAGGTTAGAATTTATAAATTGACGAATGAAACGACTACCTTTTGTGCTTTTTCACAACCTTGATGCTTTGTGCTGTTTTAATGGGTAAGGGAGTGGTTTACAAACAACGGTAATTTAAATACCACTTGGTGAGCTGTATCGTTTCCACAAAGCAATGCATATCGCTTAAGTAACAGCAAAAATGAACGCGTTTGATTCGAAGCTTTATTTTGCGTAATTTTACTATATACAATCTTTCTCCATACAGATGTAACGCACTAAAGACACACAAAAAATAGAATCATATTCTCGCGGCTCGTTTTTATTTTCTTGTTTTCTTTCTTGTATATATTCCTGTTCTCTTCTCGTACAGTTTCTTAGCTTTTTCGTGTGTTAGGTACTCCTTGAAGGATATTTACGAATTCATGAAGGGTATTTACGAAGGCATTGGTTTGGAAATGATTCACTAGTATTTGTGTTGACTGACACGTATGCCACCGCCTTCGTGATCTCTGAACCTTTTCTAGGTCGTCACACCTGTTCATGCCAAAGAGGCAAAGTAAGACAATGGACAAGTAACTCGTTGCTTTTGAAAAGTGTCACTTTAGAAATGATTTTTTTTATTATTAAATGATACAATAAACGAAAATTTTGAAAACAAGTAACTTTCATGCAAATTTTGATAAATACTGACGCGTTTTAGTATTTGTTTTGCTCACTTCTCGAAACAACGCGTTCATTTTTAAAGAACGAATTTTAAATAACTTTACTCGTGTACTCTACATAAAAGTCACTCGTAAGTTTTTGTTATCCGCATTCATCTGTCACTTAATACATGAAATATGAGCTAATACTTCCTAATCCGTGTGACGGTGTCTACTTTCTAGTATATGTGATGGTGTCTGCTTGATAATATATGTGATGGTGTGCCAGTCTATGTGATGGTGTATACTTGCTAGTCTTTGTGATGGTGCCTACTTGCTAGTATCTGTGATGGTGTCTTCTTGCCAGTCTATGGGATTGTGTCTGCTCGCTAGTCTATGTGA